TAGAATAATTAATAACTATGCTTTTTAAAATAAGTTTGGATAATATAGCTATTCTTCAATAATTGAAATAGAATAAATATTCTCATTATAAAATATCTATAATACAAGAAATAATTCTTAATATTATTCAGGAACAGATATTTGCCAATATTCAGTGATTCATGTATTGCTTTACGTACTTTTAATTTTTATCATGTTCTTCATGTAATAAATCATTCGCACTTTTTACATAAATTAGTTAAGGGAAATAAATTAATGAATAATTTAAAATGATTTAAAATATAATCTTTTATTGATATTCTATAAAAAAAGCTGTAACTGACATGTGATTTTTACACATATATATACACACACACACACACACACACACACATATATATACACATATATATATATATATATATACAGGATGAGGAAAAAGTATCGGGACATCTAAATAACTTCTGAACGGTTCGAGATAGAGAATTGAAGTTTATAGGGATGCAAATAGCATCATAAAATCTATCATTTAATACCAAAAGCGCCCATTTTAACATCCCCGTTTGGGCGTTTTTGGTATTAAATGATAGATTTTATGATGCCATTTGCATTCCTCAATCTAAACTTCAATCCTCTATCTCGAACCGTTCAGAAGTTATTTAGGTGTCCCGATATTTTTCCCTCACCCTTATACACACACACGCGCGCGCGCACGCGCGCACGCACGCACGCACACGCACACACGCACACACACACGTGTATATATATTTTAATTTTACATTAGAAACGTTACAAGATATATTAGCAGTGTCAAATTTAAATTGTTAAGATAAAATATAATTGCGTTCGTTTTGTATTAAATCTGATAATATATTATTTAACACAAGCACAACATAAATGGATCAATTTTTACCATTTTGATTATCTATCATATTACAAGGTATCAATATTAGCTTAGGTATCATGCCAGGTGGTGCTATGAATTGTTGTGTGCTCTGTGTTGTGCTGAAACCAGAGTACTGCACCTCCGCCTCTGTAACGAGTTTGCAGATATGCATCTTGATATCCGCTTGTGCTTTAGGTGGTAGTTTTTTCACTGCCTGTGCCATGCTGTCGAAAAATAATTCTATACTCTTACTCTCGGGTGCTAAGTAAACTTGTTTGTTAGTGTTCTTGTTCTTCATACTGTTTGATTCTTTAACAAGTGTGATTGATGTGCTAGGTGGTAAATTCTTCTCAAGAACCGCTACTGTATTAGCCACTGGATTAGCCACTGCATCGGTATCATTTGCATCTACATCATTGATCCTCAAGGAAGATTTTTTTATTTTATTAGGGCTAGATGTTTTCTGGGAGGAAGGACGTTCGGTCCTCATTCGTTTTGGACGTATCTTTCGGTACTTTGACTGTATTTGCTGAATGTAGTTGTCCATATCCTGTGTACTGTCTTGTTCACTAACCAATTCCTCTTGAGTAACTATCTCTACATTACTGTTGTCCAATGTTTCTATCGTCTCAGGTTCCATTAAAACCGGGTCAGCTGATGTCTCTTCAAGAACCTCCAGATATTCGGCATAGTCCTCACTATTTCGGTCTTCTAACTGTTCCAGTAAACCTTCGGCACTCACATCACTCGAGTTTATCTGTTGTATGTATTCCTTGGTCAGTTCTACACATTGTGGCTGGTAATCCACTTCACACCTGTCAAAGTATTATCGATTGAAAAAACAAAGCTTAAGTAAAGCGCCAAAATCATCAAATAATCAATGAATATTTCTTACGGATATTTTACGAAGTTTAAGTAATCCTCGAAGATCCATTTTTTTCTTCTTACACCCTCTTCTGTCTTACTCTTGCACTTCAAGATACGGCAGTAAGTATCCCTAAGGTTTTTCCATCTCAGTCTAACCCAAGCAGCTACAACAGACAGCAGCTAATGATCACATTTAGTAGATTATTTATTTTATAATAGATGGAAGTTTTCTTCACCTTGATTGGATTATACTTTTAAATCTAGAGAAAAATATATATCTATCTCAGCGAAGAAAACTTTCAACAGTTGTGGAGTAAACAAGGCTCTATTCCACAGAGAAAACTATTCAGTGAACACTTAGCAATTCTTTAATACGATTGATTCTTATCCTTAGATCCAGCAAATAACTAAAAGCAAGAAATCAATCATATTAAAGAATCACCGAGCTCATTGATCAGTTAACTTCTGAATGCAACCATTCTGCTGAACATGATCAATGGCTGCGTTAGTGCGTTAAGCAGAAAAAATAGTTTTACAACTGTTATAAGATTCTTTAATATGATTGGTTTATACATTTAGATCTAATGAAAAACTAAGGATATTACCAAACATATTAAAAAATTTTACAACAGTTGCAAAGTTATTTTTCTGCTACACATAGTCATTGGCTGCGTTGAACAGAACATTTATTTTAAACCCAATTTAAGATGTAGAATGCAGGTCGCAAGTGAAACGTATTTCAGATTGCAAGATTGCAAATCGCAATGTATAGGACACAAACGTAGGACGAAAAAGTTAAAGTTCATCCGACTTTCTGCGTTCTACAACCTATTATAATTAAAATAAAATACATTAGATTAGTTTCCAGTTTTGTGACTTGCGATCCACATTCTGTGTCTCTCTTATGTAGATCAGGCTTTACAATTATTGAAAGTTTACTTTGTTCTGATTGGATTATATTTTTAGATTCAGAGGAACAGTCCTATCTCAGTGAAAAAAATTCCAATAGTTGCTAAATAAACATTGCAAAATATATGATAGTCATTAGTAATAATACGTAAAGAAAGAACATATAAATACGCACGATCTAGGCCAAGCTCATCCGAGATATATTTCCAGACTTTTTGTTTGAACTCCTGTAGCTTCACTGGTACACCCTTTACCTCGGTACAATAGAGCACTGGATGCTGTTTTATCGCCTCTATGATGTTCAGTGATATCTGATAAGTATCCGGCGGTACAGTCATTGTACAGTTAGAATACGCGTACAGTTAGATTAACCTGCAAAAAGAGATATCTTACTACAATATTCGAATCTTTGTTTCGTAACGGCTTTCGTATTCCCGCTCGAGCTACAATCTCGCGTTCCGTTAATAACAACGACGAAGTCATAGCGATATTGTGCGTGAAAATTCGTCGAAATGTTTCGCGCGCGCTGTTTCGATGTGCATGCGTCATTACAGTTTTGCACACGTGTATCCTATCAGCACTCGATATGAACGAAATGTGAAAATCATACAACAGATCATTGTAAATACTGATACCTCACAAATCAGCGAAAATCGCTCGGCACAAAAAGAATCGACCAGCCAATAGTCGCCGTTTGATTAGACTAATGAGACTGTACGAGACTGGACGCCATAGCGACGCCGCGAAGAGTTTATTCGGCAACGCGCACTTCCGTCGCGATCTGCATTTCCGGCAATCTCCCCCCTTTCCAGGATCGATTGTAAATGGCTGTGTTCAGCAGAGTACCACTGTAGGCCCGTCTACAATACACGTAGTAAGCTTGGTTTAAAAAGAGTAAGAAATTGACCAATCACAGACAAATGTGAGAAGAATAATCGACTGTGATTGGTCAATTTCTTATGCCCGTTTCCACCAATGTAGATTAACTTTGATCTCGGTTTAACTTACTCTTTATCTTTTTCTAATTTTTAAAACTAGAAAAAGATGAAGAGTAGGTTGAACCGAGATTAAAGTTAATCTACATTGGTGGAAACGGGCATTACTCTTACTTCTTAAACCAAACTGACCAATCACAGTCGATCATTCTTCTCACATTCGACTGTGATTGGTCAATTTCTTACTCTTACTTCGTAAGCCGGAATCAGACTACGCATTGAATATTGAGATTAAAGATTGAAAGATTGAAATTTGTAGCGTTTTTTACTGGCAGAGCTGGTGCGCACTTAGTGCACTTTAAAGCTTGTACACAAATCGACGTAAAGATGTACGTTTAATAAAAATATAGAAACGAATTAAACCGTGAAATCTTCAATAAATTTTATTGGTATGTGGTATTTGATAAAATATACATTGGATATTTTATTAATTTAGATATATCACTTTTACATTCAGATTAGGTTAGGCCCAGTTCCACAAATCACGGTTAACTCTTAAGGTATATCCACACAAATTTGCATGGTCGCATAAACATATGCATAAAGAAAATTATCCCATCACATTTCTCCTATAAAGACGCACGTAAATTGTGATTGGTCAATTTTCTACAACTTAAGACCTTACGACTGCTACGACTTCTATTGTAGACCCCGCATTAATCGAGGTTCAACGTGTTTCTCATCTCTTTCCAATTCTAAAATTAGAAAGAGACAATGAATAAGTTGAATCTCGGTTAAGAAAATTGTCCAATGATTATTTGATTATTCTTCTCATATTCGACTGTGATTGGTCAATTTTCTACGACTTAAGACCCTACGACTGCTACGACTTCTATTGTAGACCCCGCATAATGTGTCGTCTACAATTTGCGAAGTAAGCTTGATTTAAGAAATAAGAGTAAAAAATTGACCAATCACAGTCGATTGTGAAAAGAATAATCGACTGTGATTGGTCAATTTCTTACTCTTACTTCTTAAATCAAGTTTACTACTGTATTGTAGACGGGCCTTAAGAGTTAACCGTGAGTTGTGGAACTGGGCCTTACAACAGTGTACAACAGCTTTAATGTGTATTAAGTGCGCATCAGTTCTGCCAGTGAAAAACGCTATTGATCAATCAAAACAATAGGAGCTAAAATTTCTTTGTCCTCACTGGACATCCTCAAATTTTAATCTTCAATCTTCAATCTGAATCTTCAATGCGTAGTCTGATTCCGGCCTTAAGATGCTAATACGGCTCTCTGATTGGTTCATGTACTAGCTTAAGACCATCTCGAATCTTGAGCACCGTCTATGGATTCCGCCCTTAGTATAATCTGGACGATTATTGAGTGTTGAGAGTTGGGGTTTTACTAACAGTTTATTTGATATAAAATTCTGCATTTTATTTAAAAAATGCCCTCCGTATATTGTGTTTTGTGCGGCAATCGTGATAAATCGGTTTCCTATTTTGCGTAAGTATAAGTACAACATTTTGTGTTTATTTGTATTATGTGATGAAATATAGGTTAGATTTTGTGCCAAAAATATGTGCAATAATTTCTTACAATGTATAAATTTAATTATTTTTCTTATTAATAGATTTCCAAAAGAAGAGAATATTCGCAAGCAGTGGCTAGCATTTTGCGGAATAAATGAACAAGTTCTTAACACCGTTACTAAACTATGTACAAATCATTTTCGAGAAGAAGATATAATAAAGAAACCTAAGCGTTCATATATGAAACCTAATACTGTGCCATTCATTCATGGAAAGAAAGGGACAAGATCTCTATACTTGAATTCGTTTAATAATAAAATTGATTATAAGAACAAAAAGGATATTGCTACTGACAGGATAAATATTGACTACAATGTATCAGTAAACGGTAATAATGTTTAACATTATTGATTTTATATTTCTTTGAAACAAATTAGAAGAAGTAATTAATTGATGATTAATGACTTTCTAGATACTTCTGTGACAGTTACTGAACGTATACCACAGAGTAGTGAAAATGTGCAGTTGAATTGCCAAACATCTTCCGAGGCTGAAGCTCGATCTCGTATTGGTATCATTGAAATACCAGGTTCAACTGCAAAAGCTAACACATCATTAAGAGAATATTTCTCAAATTTCCAAACATGTACAAAGGCCATACAGAAACCTCGTTATGTTGGTAACATTACAACACAACATCTAAGTACATTGAGAAAAGTGCAAAGATCTTTAAAGATAGCAAAACATACTATCTCACGACAACAAAAAAAAATAAAATCTCTGCAGCAACGCCGTAATAGATTTATTGCTCGCATAACGACATTAAAATGTTTAATCAAACATTTGAAGAAGAAGAATTTACTTACAGAAGCGGCTGCTGAAAATTTAAAGGTAAATGAGTCTAATTTAAAAATTTTGACATTAATGAATACTTTCAGTCTCGCTTAAAGTCAAAGTAATGGCCGCAGCACAGACTCTTGCATAATGCATAACACAAAGCATAAGAAATTCAATCAATCAAAATTATTTATTTCATAGAAAGGAAGGAAATGAAGAACTTTGATTGGTACATTTTCTTATGCATTACGTGTTATGCGTTATGCAAAAGTCTGTGCTCCCCGCTTAAACCTGTCACACATGAAATGTATAACAGAGTATGAGCATAACATAAGACTGCTAGAATAAGCATCCAGTATTAAGAGTTCAAAAGAATTCTCTACTGATTGGCTGATTCTTACAATACGTCTTAGGCCGAAATCAGACTAGGCATTAAAAATTGAGATTGAAGATTGAAAGATTGAAATTTGATCAATCAAAACAATAGGAGCTAAAATTCCTTTGCCCTCATTGGTCAAATTTCAATTTTCAATCTTCGATCTCAATCTTCAATGCATAGTCTGATTTCGACCTTATGATTACTGTTACGGAAGGTGTGTGCCTCAAGTCTTATGGCCCGTCTACAATAAGTGAAGTAAACTTGGTTTAAGAAGTAAGAGTAACAAATTGACCAATCACAGTCGAATGTGAAAAGAATAATCGACTGTGATTGGACAATTTCTTACTCATAGGGTGTCTATAGACGATGCTCAAGATTCGAGATGGTCTTAAGCTAGTGCATAAACCAATTAGAGAGCCGTATTAGCATCTTAAGACATTGCTTGATATTAATGCGTCGTCTACAATGGCAATATCAATAATGGATGAGGCTGTAAGAGTAAGAAATTGACCAAACACAGTCGATTATCCTTCTTACATTCAACTGTGATTGGTCAATTTCTTACTCTTACAGCCTCATCCATTACTGATACTGCCATTGTAGACGGCGCATAAGACCGGACTATGGATTCTGTCCTTACTTCTTAAACCAAGCTTACTATGTGTATTGTAGACAGGCCATTACGTTTTAAGTTTTTGTATGTGTCAAGACCTTTATTCATTGTAACTGACATATTTACAGCTTCTTCTTCTTCTTCCTTTATGATTGGCACGCGCAGCCACGGCCGCGATCAGGCCATAAAGTTAGTTACGATGATATGCAATGCGATGGTGAATAGGCCGGAACACGCGCGCCAGATCGACATTTGCGTAGCTTAAAGAACTCGGGGTATGGATGGATATCGATACTTTTGAAATATGCAAGGATATATTACATATTGGACTTGGTTAGAGGGTGCGAGAGTGAATGCATGCGTGCGAATGTAGCCGTGAATTAGATTGCATATTGTAGCGTAATTAGAGGCGATAAATAGGATACTAGAGGTATGGATAAGTAGGATCCGGTGGCATAGAAGCGACACAAATAAAGGCGATAAGAACTTTGCAGCGATAGAACGGTTTTATACGAGGTAAGGAGAAGGAAGGTAGGTGAAGTTATGGCGTCGAAAGACGCGAGCGTCAGGAAGACGGAGAGTCGGGAAGGGAAGGCGGTAGGATAGCAAGCAGAGGAAGTTAACGACAGAGGTGAGGGGCTCAGTTGTGGGATTCTCTAAACGTTTTATCGACAATTGTCGCTATCGTTAACTAGCGACAGCCAATGACAGCCGCGCTTTCTTCCAGGATTGTCCTGACATTGGCTGTCGCTAGTTAACTATAGCGACAATCATCAATAAGACGTTTAGAGAATCCCGCTACAGATGGCGGGAAAAAGGTTTTTAGGGAAAAAACATTTAGGTTAGATGAAGAGACAGTGGAAGGGTCAATGAAGAGAGGAGTGAGAGGGGAGGTAGAGGAAAATATCTGGGAAGAGTTTAAATTAATGAAAGAGGAAAGAAAGGTTTTCATGGAAAATATAAGGGAGAAAAGAAAAATGCTCATGGAAAGTCTGAAGGTCAAGGAAAGATTCTGGGAGGAGAGGATTAGAAGGATAAGAAGAGAAAATAATAAAAAGAGAAAATAAGGTAAAGTAATGGATAGAGAATGCGGAGAAAAGGCTTAGGGTGAAATCATACGTTGCGGAAAAAGACTACGGAATAGAGAATGCGTCACTGAAGCAACCAATCAGCGCTATTCGGAATAGCGCTGATTGGTTGCTTCAATGGGTGCATTCAGTGGGAGCATTCAGTACCATGACGGCTCACTGAGCGCTCAGTGAGCTCTTGAATCTGTTTGGTCTATATTTTTAGTTCTAACGGAATATGCCAATCAGATGCAAGAACTCACTGAGCGCTCAGTGAGCGGTTGTAGTACTAAATGCACTCAGTACTACAACCGCTCATTGAGCACTCAGTGAGCGCTTGCATCTTATTGACATATTCTGTTAGAACTAAAAATATAGACCAAACAGATTCAAGAGCTCACTGAGCGCTCAGTGAGCGGTCGTGGTACTGAATGCACCCAATGACGCATTCTCTATTCCGCAGTCTTTTTTCGCACCGTGTGATTTCACTCTTAGAGAGAGATGGGAGGAATATACTAAAGAGCTAAAAGATAAGTTAGATGAGAGGGAGAGGATAAGACACGGTTATCCATCAGGAGAGGAAGGGGAGGAATGGAATGTTTATAATAAGGGAGGGAGTATTTACAGTAGGACTATGAATGCGTGTAGTGGAAGATGATCAGAAGGAAGCATGGATAAGTTAAGTGGGAGAGAGATGGGAGCAGTGCTGAAACTGTGATGGTGGAAAAGGAACGAGAGGAAAGGCAATATTGCTATTAAGGGGATTAACTGGGAAGGAGATAAAGATATGGAAAAGGATAAAGATGGGGCACAGAAATTTATAAAGCAGAAAATAGGGGTAGATGTAGAGATAATCAGTTGGAGGATGGGCGGGCCAGTAGTTACTATTAAAGTAGGTAACGAGGAAATGAAGAAGGAGGTAATGAAAAACAAGAATAAATTGAGGGGAGGTAAAATCTTTTTTGAAAATGATTTAAGCTTTGAGGAAAGGAAGACGCAAACCCTGATATATAAATAGATGAGTAAAAGCACAGGAAAATAAGGGGGGGATATAAAAATAGGATATGAGAGAGTGAAAATAAGGGGGGTTTGGAAAGCATGGGCGGAAATTGAGAGAGAAGACGAAGAGGAAAAGGAAAGGGAAAATAACAACAGGAAATATGGAGATAGAGAGAGGAAAGAAAAGGACAAGTCAAGGGAAGCGGTAGGAGAGGAACAAAATTTAGGTTAAACCAAGAAGGGAATGTGAAAAACTAAAAGATTCGAACTAGGACACAAGGATTGGTGGGATAGAAGCTGTACCAGGAAGAAGAGGGAAGTACAGAGAATATATAAGAGATGGAGACTAAGAAAAATAGACAGGAGAGAATACGGAAGAAAGAAGAAAACTAAAGGAGTTGAAGAAAAAGCAAAAAGAAAAAAGAGAAGAAGAGGAAACGGAATTGACATATTTGAAGAGGGAGGCAGATGTATGGAAATTTGTAAACAAAAAAGAGGCAAGAGGATATGGAGAGATAATAACATTGAAACAGAGGAATGGAGGCAACATTGAATCTTCCAAGCGGTACTGAGGTGGTTGCACAGGAAAAGGAGGAAATGGAGGCAAGAGAGGGATGAACGACAGGAAGGGGAAGAGTTGAAAGAGGAAGAAATTAGGAAGGCACTAAAGAAGAAAAGAAGGCCAAGGGTATAGATGAAATCTCGATGGAAGCGTGGAAATATGCGGGAGGTACGTTATGGAACGACATGATAGAACTATTAGGACAACTTTGGAGACAAGGTAAGATTCCTGAAGATTGGAGGCGGAATATTATGGTGCCATTATATAAGAGAGGAGACTGAACAAGAAAGGGAGGGTGGCAGCTAAAAAGGTATGGGGTTTAGGGGAAAGACTGTGCAGAGACGATTTTATAAGAAGGGTACTGTTTAAATACCTAGTACAAAGTGTTATGGGATATGGAATGGAGATCTGGGGATGGGAAGAAAGAGGAAGTTTGGAAGAAATTATGTTAGATTATGTGAGATGGATATTTAACATAGAATTCTGCACACCTAGATGTGTGATAATGAGAAAATTAACTATAGACAAATTAAAGATAGGCTGGGGTTATGAGATATATAGTAAGAGCTACGATAATAAGAGTTCATAATAAGAACTATGATAATAAGAGCTCATAATAAGAGTTATGAGATATGAGAGGAAATTAAAGAAAAGGAGGGAAGACAACCTACTTAGATATTGTTTGAGGAAAAAAAAGAAGATAAGTGGAAGGACCTACATGGTAAAGAAAGAGAAAGGTTCTACAATAGGAATGGATGGGGTATGGATGCTAGAGAAATAGGAGATGACGGAAATGAAGGGAGGTTAGAGTATCTCGCAGTCCTCAACCAACTATCCTCCCACTGTCTTTGCATATCCCTTAGAGGAAATTCTTCTAAGGAGGAAATAATTAGAAGGGAAAGGGATATGCAAAGACAGTGGGAGGTAGTTGGTTGAGAACTGCGAGATACAATGGAAGGTACAAGGAGTTTGATACGGGGAATAGATGTCCCAATTATTTAAAGAAAGAAAATCTGTGTAATCTGGAAATAGGCGAAGGTGTGAGAGGGTTAATTAGACTTAGGCCGGTATTCATAGTCGGTTCTTATTTCAAAACCATCTTAAGTAATGTCTTAATACGCTAACGCGGCTCTCTGATTGGTTCATGACACCTCAAGACTGAACTTAAGACGATCTTGAATATAAGAACTGACTATGAATACCGGCCTTAAATGTGGGAATATGGAGGAAAGAAACAAATATTTGCTAGATTAGAAACATAGAGGCTGCGTATTCTGCGGAATAGGGATGGATTGTATGGAACACTATGTGGAGGAATGTCAAAAAGTAGGCAGTTGGTTTAGGGATCTTGGAAAGGATAGAGAAAATATGGAGGAAATTTTTGGAGCGAAGAATTAGATTCAGAAAAATGTAAAGTGTTAGGTAAATTAAAGAGAGAAAGGAAAAAAGAGATCAGGAAAAGGAAAACAGAGAAAAAGACAACTAGCAAGGTAACGGATATGGAGTAATATATTTAGGTTGTAGAATAAGACTGCGTCTAGATGCGAGAATGGTTAGGAATGTTATGATATACTATTAAGAATGTATGTATTGTGACATATTTATGTATGGTTGTAGTTATGTATTGTACTATTGTATTATATTGTATTATGTACTATAGTATATACTATAGTCAGGCTGTGATATATGAGTATTAAATATTATAAGATAGAGGAACATATACTGTGATACTCAGAGCTAAAATAGAATAAAGTAACATGGATACCTAGATATTTAAGAACGAACAAAAATAGTGAATAAGAATAAGATACTTTGTATTTTTTTCTATCCTCGGCGAGGTAGTGTATAAAGAATTTTAGGACGGAATCCATAGACGTTGCTCAAGATTTGAGAGGGTCTTAAGCTAGTATGAACCAATCAGAGAGCCGAATAATATCTTAAGACATTGGTAGCGTTCAGCAAAGAAAGCTGCTTTGCAACTGTTGTAAAATTCTTCAATATGATTGATTCTTGCTTTTGGTTCCTTATAGATCTAAATGTATAAACCAATCATATTGAAGAATTTTACAACAGTTGCAAAGCTGTTTTCTCTGCTGAACGCAGCCA